GGGAAAAGAGAATCAGCTCTATGTGTTTCTGGAGCAAATGATCCTGACATTCACCCACAGTTTGAGTTCTGTTATCCTAGCTAGAAAAGGCCATTAGACTGGCAGCAGCAGAAACTTTTGTTCCTAGATTCAGCTAGCAGTTGCTAGGAATTACTCGTGAGCAAAGAGTTCAAAAATTCAAATCTAATGAAACAGTCTTTTCGCTAATAAGCAAGCTGTCAGTTTGAGGAAAGGAACAACTTGTGGGTTGTTACAAATGTACCTTCTGGTAGAGCTCTCTTGTATTCCTGGTTTATTCCCATTGTCTTTGGAAGCCTGTAAACCACAGTGTCTCTAATAAAGACAAAACTATCAGAGCAACCACAGCTGCTGGAAAGGAAGGGCTTCTTGCTTCCTGTAGCAAGACTCAGTTGACCAGCTGCCTTTAACGCCTGCTTGATACGGTATTGATTCATTAGTGGCAATTATGACTGTTTCTATCTCTGTGTGTTTCCAGATAAATATGCTTTTCTTCACAAAAAAAAAGGCCAGAAGTAGCTAGAACAACTGATTTATGGGCACAGCCCTCTTTTCCCAGGTGTTTTTGTTTGTCTGTTAAAGTAGGACTTTGGAAACTAGTGCTAGTCATCATATTAGCCTTTCAGTGGAGGCCTCAACTTTCCTTCTGCGATACAGGATTTACAGTTACAGCTCTGAGAGCATTATGAGGATCCTTCTATTAATGAGGATGATTCAAATAATTTTTAATATTAAATTTTAAATATTTCTGAAGATTTAGACCTAATATTGGTTTGGTTTTCCCCTTTCCTTCTTACCCCTCTGTTATTAATTTCCAAGGTCCTCTTACCCCTTCCAGTCTACAAGTTTCTCAAGAGGTCTCAGACCCATATAGCTGCCTTGGGAAGAGCTAGGACAGAGGGAGGGGTCTTTTGGGAAGAGGCCTAGACATGATGTTTCAGCATGTGCTGGATATGCATGCAAAGCAAGACAGTGACTGCTAAAGTAATAGGAAAAGTATAACTGGTTATAGGGATATTTAGTTCCAGTAAGCATAAACAGAGCTGGTTCAGACAGCATGGTTACATCTGCCTGCCATCCCTGGGGCAGGTTTGAACACTGCACTTACTCGTCACCCTACAGTGCTGCATCACACAGTGGAGAGATGACTTCATCAGGATTAAGACCTAAGATATCTCTGCAGCATCCCAGAGTTCCTTCTCCACAGTTTTTCTGGCATTGGGAGACTGCACTTTTATATTTAACCAGAAATATATCCTTCTCTTGTTCCTCACCAAGTGTGGTCTGTACAGTGGAGCCCTTAATCTATGTCTCCTAGTTTGGCATAACGGGGCAATGCAAACCAGGCTGGGGAAAGGCTGTAGTGTGCCTGGCAGGTCCATGTTAAATGACTGCACAGGAACTCTTAGTCTACATGAATCTAGCTCGGAAGATTCCTGTGACTTTTTTTTTTTTTAATGGAAGATTATACGAGGAAAGCCTGACTGAAAAGAAGACATGACTTAAGGCTCTCATGATGTTAGTAGCTACTAGTGCGGCACGTGCATAAAGCACTTGGTGTTTTAAAAAGATAAAGCCTTTCTGATATGCAGTGTAATCTCCCCGAAATGTTAATCTCCCTGAAATCCCTTAATTGAATCTTCTGAAGTCCTGGAAAGACAGTGAGGGAGAGAGAAAAAAGATACAGATTAAAGCAGCTTTTCTAGTTAGTCCGAGAGCCAGTGAGTCTCCTTCTATATTTCTTTCTTCATCTATTCAAGGCCTCATTCACTTCCCATGTGCCTCCCACTGACAGTATTGCTGCTCAAGCACACTATGCATGAATTGCCATAATGTTTTATTTTGTTATAATTGGTTTCTTTAAACCAAGGCTTTAACACCCACTGTCTCATGCCATTACCAAGGGCATTCTGACCTGCCTTCATGTAAATTGCAGCATCCAAAAGACATAGTTTTTTTTTCTCCTTTCTTCCCAACAGACAAGTAACATCTGTGTGAATTCACATTATTTCCTAATAGACAAAAATTGAACTTAAATGCAGTGTACATCAAGATAATAAATGACTCTGTTAGAGGAAGTTACTCAATAGAGCTCACTGAAGTACTTTCTATTCTCTCAGCGTGACATCTTTCTTTAGGACAAACACTTTGAATGTTGTTATTATAAGGAGGCGTTATAACAAAGGTGTCTATAGTGTGAACGTAGTTCAGTGGGACTGAGAGTACTGTGCTGTTAGAGCTGGTCAGAGTGCTGGATGGGAGCTTTGTGTACCACTCCTGTGTCACTATTCATTACACTAGAGCAGAGTTATGTAGTGGATGTGTTGGTTTTGCACAGGCAGAAATGTCAGGCTTTCTGTGCGTCGTCAGAGCTTTGGACAGGGGTCAACTTTAAGGAAAAAGAAAACAGGCTTATACCTGCCTAATACAACCCACCAATCAGCTAGGCACGCATCTTCTTCAAACTCCACAGACATTCCTGAGAGACTGTCTGGAGGGGAGGAGTGACAGGTAGTGGGAGAGAGAAGGCAGGACTATTTAGACTGACTTATCAGATGGAAGCCATTAGAATTTAGCAAGGTTTTCCTCCTTGGAGAAATCTTTAAACAATTAAATGAGCAGCAGGCCTAGGGAAGTGAACAAACTAAAACCTCCTGTTTCCCTGAACTGCCTTCCAGACTTAGACCATCAGAGTCTCTGATAAGCTGCAGATGTCTGGAGCGGGATACAGCCTGAGAAGACCTGGAGATTTGCTGTTTGTAAACTTCCCCAGCCTCCTTCTTGCACATTCTTCAGCCTGCTGTGCTCCCAGCCTTTGACTCTGCAGAGCAGTTAAGAAAAGTCCCGGTGTGAGAGGCACAGGCAGGAAATTAAGTGGTCTGAATAAATGATGAAGCAGCAATACTATCTACAGATGTAAAATTTCTCACAATAAGGGTGGTCTCCTGCAACTTCATGAGCTGCGTGTTGTCCATGAGTAAGTCAGGACTGTGTTGCTGGAAGCGGGCTCAGTCTGGTGCAGAAGTGACCAGAAGGCAGATGAACTCTAGGGCCCAGCTACACATCCAGGCCAGCCCAAAAGGACCAGTGGACCCCTGTGATGCCATCATTCTCTCTGGCTTTCTGCCTGCTTTCAGAGATCCCTCTCCCTTCAGCTTTGCTAACATGCAGCTTGTTTCTTGTGATTCCCAGCCACATTAAGATTTCAGGACAGAGCTCATAAGGTAATAACAGAACACAGCCCTTCTCTTATTCTCTTGTATGAAATGCAGAGTGCATCTGAGACATGTTCTTTGAGAAGGAGGACAAACTATCACAGAAATAATGAAAATCTTTCATTATTAGACACCTTTCTATCTCCAGACCCATTCAGAAACCCTTTAATGCCACGTTTTGTTACCAAGGACAAAGTCATTGTTGGTGTAGTTGTGGATCCACTGTTTCTTTACAAAGCCAGTGCTGTAGAGAGCTACCACTGACTCAGCCAATCACATAAATACAAAACATTAAATGCATAAAGCAAAGGTGTTGGGTTGCAAGACCTGAAAATGCTTCATAAATGTTACCAAATGAGATGTACATAGCTCATAAATATTATCAGATGAGGTTTACATAAATCCATAGCTGAGATGCAGTGACATCATTCCCAAAAACTTCTATGAACCAGCAGTACAAAACTCCCCACATTTTCTGCTCACGAGTGTTAATCCCTCTACTAACGACTGTATCTACTGTAACTTACTTGACTTAATATAATTCAGGTAAAGATGATTTTTCCCAAGGCACCTCAGATGCTTTGAAATTGGTCAATACCAGATACCTAGATCAGAATAATAATCTGTAGCTCCAAGCAACAACACATAGGTGATAATAATTGGAAACAGGACATTATTTTCTCCTGGATCTTTAAACATAGGCAATCTCAATGCAGTTTACAAGCAATTGACAGAGAAAGTGTGTCTGGACTTTACCTCTGGGGCAGATCAGATCAAGCAATATGCTGTGTTTTGCAGGGTTTTACCATTTGAAGCAGCTATCCCAAACCAATGCCAAGAAAGCCTTTTGGTTCAGCATATTGCTGTAGACTCCACATGTTACAATATTTCCTAAACAGCGAGGGGTTGATTCTCAATTCTCTTGAACCAGTTTTATGTGGCAGTAATTGGTCTGACTTAAATGAGGTTACTCTCTGCACCTATCAGTATACATGCAAGAAAGGCTGGAATGAGCACAGAAATAGTCTCCTGAAGTTCGGTAAGAGGTTATGCTTCTATGCCTTAATTGGCTGTGGATACAGATCTATGCATGCTAAAGCTTCAGTCTGAGCAGACATATTAGCAGCATCCAAACTGTGACTCAGCAAAGTTGGCTAATTTGAGCTCACCAAGGCAACTGATGAGCAAGTTCTGGGGTTTCAGATCATAGTGAAGAATGTGTTGTTGGAGGATTGTCCTGGTTTCAGCTGGGACAGAGTCAGCTCTTCTTTTTAACAGCCAGAAGAGCTCCGTGTTTTGGTTTTAGTCCGAGACTTGCTCTGAGAAGAATGCTGCCAACGCACTGATGTTTGTAGTTGGTGCTGAGACCTCAAGGACTTTTCAGCTGCCGTGTTCTTGCCAGTGAGCAGGAGCACAACAGGATAGGGGGGAGCATGGCCGGGATGAGGGGTCCACGACTCTCCTTACGATTTGTACTTGGACTTAAGATTGAGGGCCAAACTGGCCAATTAGTATTCCATATCATGCAGTGTCATGCCCAGTATAAAAGTGAGGGACAGCCAGAAAGAAGGGCCTTTGCTCTCCGAGGCTCTCACTTTCAGACTCTCAGAGTGCTCTCTCTGTCTTGCTCTCTATTTTTTGGGCCTCTCGCTTGTCCGGGATTGCAGTATTGGGATTTATCTGTTTTGGGATCGTTAGTTCGGGACGAGACGGCGTCAGTCAAGGAGTGGTGAGCAATTACACCGTACATCACTCATTTGTATATATTTATCATTGCACATATACGTAAGCCAGGCTGTGCAAAAGCTGGAACACAAAAAGCTAGAAAAAAACAACAAAACCCTGAAATTATTTTGTGTGGCTTTGCATTGATACACTAACTCTGAACTTCAGGAGAGCTCCTGGAACAAAGTACAGACAAAGCAAGTAAGAAACTAGTAAAAATCCCAAAAATGAGTAGAGCTGGCTGAAGAAAAGAAAACTGCAGTGAGGTATGACTGCCCTGCAGCTTTCTGAGGTTTTCAGGGTGGAGGACATGAGGGCAGTTACGGTGCGGTGCCTAAGTGCACGTTTTGGAAATTTAACTTTTCTTTAGAAATGGACTGTTGATTGCAGGAGCAAGCACAGCTTGCCAAAACACAGACCTGGCTTTCAGAGCAGCAGATATTCTCATTTCAGTGCTCAAGACAAAGACGTACAGCCAAGCAAAACGAAGGTTTAAGGAGCTCGAAGTTTTGCCCGTTTGAGCCAGCGGACACCAGCAGAGGGAGTTCTGCAGCCGCTGCGCTCACCACTTCTCGCCTGTATAAGCTGGACCAGTGAACTGACTTATTTGACAATGTAAACTGTTATCTTCAAGCTGGGAGAAAACACAAGGAACTGATTTGAACAGATATAGCAAATAAAGTATGATGAATGAATGAATCAAGCAAGAAAGCTGAAAAGCAAGCAAGAAAAAGATATCTAACTCCCATCACCATGGCAGTGTAAATAAGCCTGGGGTTATATAACTTGGGCTGAACAAAGTATGAAACTGGACAGGGGATAGAAACAAAACAGAGCAAAAGTTATTAGACTTCACCAGAGAAAATATATTCTTCACCAGAAGCGTAATCTGAAGAGGAGGAAAAACCGTGACACCCATAGGTCATTTTTGTACCAGAAAAGCATCCCTGTAATATTCTGCATACTTGCATCATATTCAATAGGAATCACTCAGAGAAAAAACGAACAACATTTGCGAGCAAAAACAAAGCAAGCTAGATGACCCTCTTAAAGGAGCACTAAATCATTTTGCAGTTCAGTTGCTGCTGACAGTGAGGATTTTGAACAGGAAAGCAGAGCAGCTGGCTAGTGTTTACTTACAGAAAAGAGCCAGTGAGCACATGTTACAGCCATGTACTCCATGGGCTTTACAAGCCCGCATGATAGCAGAGCCCTTGAGATCTGTGCCAAAACTACAACACTGCATCTTGAACTTATCTGAGCTTTAAGGATGTTTAAAATCTGAGGCCTCGAGAAACTTCATTAGAAATGGTGTTGCTTAACAACCATCTGGAAAAAGATGTGAACAAGGTGGCAACATTTAAAAATGACAGAAGTATTTAGACTAGCCATGATAAGAAGTGACAGGAACTTCAGAGAGATCTGACAAAGTCAGATAAATAGGCAGTTTGATAAGACACAAACTTATTGTTGACAGATGTCAGATAAATTAACTGAGACTGCTCAGGAAAAGAACCCAGGCATTCACTGAGGACATCTGCACTGAAACCTTAAGTCAGCATGCAGCAACAATCCTGAAAGTTAATTAAATGTGAAGATGCATACAAAGGAGAGTAGGAGACTATTAGAAGGTCAGTCTATAAAGTAAGGGTACATCTTCACCTGTGCTCAGGTCCAGTCAACCAATCCCCAAAAACTGTAGTAGAAACAAAATGGATTATAATGCCTGTAGATATGAAGATAGTTCCAGATGAAGGGAGAGTGAGATTTGAGAGTTTTTAATCAGAGAGATGAATAATGTATTCTAATGATAGGAGGATACAAATTTGTGTAGAGATAGATTTGCTTGCCACAAGATGTCATTGTTCACAAAAGCTGAATGTCCTCTTGCAGGCTCAGAAAATGGGAAGAGAGACTAACTGAAAAAACGCTTTAGAGACTGAGAGGGAGGTTGTTACATCTATATCAAAGGCAGCTTTTCTCCAAAGTGGTTGTCATATATGGAACAAATAAATATTAGTAAGCAATTCACAGTAACTATACGTAGTGGAAACGTATGGAAAATACATAGTGGAAAATAACACTTCCTTATGCTTTAAGGGATACTAGTCTTTTAAGGAACTCACCATAATATTGTGTGAATGAAGTCCTCCGGGATGCTGGCCCATGCACTGTGCTAGATCTGTGTGCTAAATGAAAGATAATAACTTGAGACAAAGCTACTAATGTAAAATGTTTCTACAAACAATACCTCTTCTGTAAATGGAAAAAATATGCAACTGCGGAGAAGGGATTTGGAGAAGTACTGAGACGACTCAATATGAGTTAGCTGCAGGAAGTCTCGTTTATTGCGCAGTTCTTATTGCTTATATAGGCAGTATTTGCCAATAATCCTGAGACCACACCTTTTCTACACCATTATTGGATGATACATATGCTTGTCATATTTAACAGCTTATTTCAAACAGGTACCCGCCTAGCGAAGCTCTGCTCTAAGCAAACACTACTCCCTTATCATACTGCATAGTTTTCTTATCCTTAACTTCAAGGGCATTCAGCCCTTGAGGCCTAACTTTAGAGCTCCAGTCCTTATTTACACAGGATTTTCTTCGTGCAGTCTCTTCAAGGATCTGCACTCCGACATGCAACCACTACAAAGGTGTCTCTTTCACC